TTGGTGTCAACACTGATTGCATTTTGTGCCGCCCACCTGCTTAGACCATGTCAGCAGTGCACACCGGAGTTTTGTGCCACATTTTTTTGACACTTTAATTGGGAGGTGACCCACGTTACCCTCTCAAAAGTCAACCAAAAATATCCTTTTATTCACTGCTTTTTATAATGCACTCTTCGACCTGTAGACATGTCTGACTGCACAGCATTTATTCTGATCATGGTAGTGATAGCAGGAAGGCAGATTAAAGATGGATTTCGATTCGAACCAGCATCTGTCATCCACAACAGTTTGCTTCTATGAAAGTCTTTCAGCTAATTAACATCCCTCATATCCTTCTGAAGGCAGAAGGTATGTGTTGAATCTGCTCTCTCTAATTGACATGCATCCTCAAATTGTAACTACACAAACAGATCCACTGTGGTCACAGTTTAAATATTGCACAACTAGCACCAAGATGTTGCAAAAATAACTACACATACTTCTCTTTTGCACATCAGCCAGGCCTGTTATACAGTTCATTGGTATTCTACGAAGCCTTATAAATTTATAAAGTAAAATTCCTCGTCATCTTCATCCTTACCTTACTTAGTTTTGAGAATATTTACATATTGCACTGAGATACAACCAAGTTGTAAATGCAAACTTGACAATAATATAATTTCAATAAAGGTGAAAACCACATGCAATACCTCATTCCTGATTTTATTTTTATTTTGTTATTGCACTACGGTTGTAGTTATAAATTAAAATTGTATTATTGTAAATAGAGTCATGCATCCTCAAACAAAACATTGTGACCTATGAACTGCCATTATTTCTAGAAATATTAATAAAAAAGAGACATCATCTGCATATTGATGGAAATGGATTTGGGCTGCTAAATATTTTCCCTTGCAACTCTGTGGGTCCCAGACAAGTTTCCACTCGGGACAAGCTCCTCTGTCTGGACATTCCACTTGGGACAATGTCATGGTGGAGAAAACAGCTTTTTAAGAGGATGAGATGACTTGTGATGATTGTCACCAGACCCTAACACACCCTCTGATAAAGCATGATAACAAAATTCTTCCCAATCCCAACCCGTTTCCATGTGCACCCTGGGTGCGCTGTGTGCCTGCACCTAAACAAACAAAAAGTGCATTTGACTTATAACATCAGCGCCTTGCATGTCAGGATATAAACTTTACTAATCTGTTTACAAGGACAACAACGAAACAAGACCGGGTGTGGTTTAAAGTCTCTGTGGTGAAGTTATCAGCCAGGCTTTGTTTCCGTTTAAGAAACAAAGCCTGCTGTGAACTGATATTGACTTGAAGCTTGTCAAGGCTCTGTCTTTGGTACCAAATCTCTGAATCAACCATGTGTATCAACTATTTCACAAAATGGCGTGCACTATAACAACATTGATTAAACTAGTGTAATGGTTTCCAATATTCTGGATTGGAGATGTCTTGTTTTAAGAATGCTGTCCACATCTGGTAGCAGTCTGTATAGTTGCCTTCATTTACATTACATTTCACATTCACTCATGCTTTAATCATGTTACAAAATTAAATTTTGGCTGTAAACTCTCTAAAGCATCATTACCAAAACATCCATATTGTTATTCGCCTTAAACAGAATAACTTAAACTGACTAAAAACTTGACTCAAAGCTGTCCGGTTATGACAAAATAACATATATCAGTATAAGTTTTAAACATGTACGATTTGTTGACAAAGAGGTCAGAATGATGTTCAGACTGGGTGGGAGACTCACTTGGTTCCTTGCGATGATTTAACTGCCCAATCGCTCTTCACATCCTTGTGGGTATGATGTCATCACTGCTGGCCATTTTAAATGGATGAGACTGTGACTGTGCGTAGAGTTGCATTAGGCTCCCTTAGTCAGTCCTTCCATGTAACAGTAACCTCTGGTGACTACGTTTTGTCTGTACCACTTAGACACTCAGACAGCCTCATTGGTGCGGCCACAGTCTTCATCATTATTCTTCTCACCACATCCCTTTGTCAGCATGGCAGTAAATGATGCTTTGCTGACTGTTGCTCACATGGGCGGCAGCCTTGGATCGCTAAAAGTGCTGATTTTACACTCCCACTGCCTCTTAAATTGCATTCCTACTTTCATGCAGGATTAACATGTTATCTCAGACATTGCTCTGTAGCTTTTCTCTCTACCACTGTTATTTGTTTCCTCTGTTATTACTGCTACTATGCAAATGTATGCAATTACACTGACAGTTGTTCAGCGCCTCTTTATACTCTGTTCTTGTTCTAAAGACAATGATAAGTAGTCTGTTTTGTTCCTCCTCCTGCTAGGGGTAAATATCAGGGGGCATTGTTAATAAAAACGTTACTGTACAGACTGCTACCTTTTCACTTGTGTTTGTGGCAGTCTTTTCCCAGACTAGGGATAAATTTTGTGTCCTAACAGATAACAGTCTTGGCAGCAAAGGTCGTAGCAGGGGCCCTTTTTTCCATCTCACAGGCACAAAAATAGTTACAATTAACAAGTTGGTTGTGGGACAGTTTCGTTGTACATCAGACTCTTCCGTTCAGTGTTGATTATTTTTATATTTTAAAATATTTTATGTTATTCTCTGGGCTGTAGTTGATACTGTTGTATTGATTGGATTTTATTTATACAAACAAACACATCCATGACATTGGATTGCACAGGTGTGTCTAATAAACTTTTAACTGTGCATTTTGGAAAATATTTTTGAAATCCTCACAATAGGACTGATGATTTCCAATGTTCATATTTCTTTGTTTTAGGGCTCGTAAAAATCAAAGAGGCAAACGACATCGAGGAGAAACTAAACGAGGTGGAAAGACTACTGAAGAATGCTATAAACATGCCATGCAAGGTCGGTCATTCAAATATTATGAGTACTTTATTAGCATATTCACTGTGCATTAGAAAGTTTACATTGCGAGTAAGAGGTAGATGTTTGGAAACGTGCAACTATGCAGACTAAATGACTAAAAACCAGACTCACTCACAGTATTCCCGGTCAGAGGTGATGCTGACTTTCTTTGAGCGATCGCCGCTGGACCAGGTGCTGAGGAATGACAAAGTCCACAGAATCCAGCCGTGCTTTCAGAGTCCAATCAAGATATCAGGTATACACATCTACAATTATTTTGTAACAGAGTAAAGATGGAGCTAATGTTGACCTAATGTCATGTTGACTTAACAAATAGCACTCTGTACCTTTTAGAAATCATGCGCTCCAATGGATTCTGTCTGGCCAATACGGAAACCATCGTATTTGATCACAATCTCCCAGAAGAAAAAGAGAGACCCTCATCCACTGACTCTGTGGAACATACGTGAGTATGAGGACCAATCCACATTACTTCTGTCATTGTCGTGTTGGCGCTTTCATAGATTAGATTACTAATTGTTTCAATCATTAAATCCATCAGCAAGCTTGTTGCAGTGTAACACAATTTACCTGCTTGTTGTACACAAATATAAGGATTTCCACGTTAGCTCTTGAGTATATACTAAGTGTTTTGGTGAGTGTGGGAGTCCTTCAATGTGAACCAAACACAGGACCCTCCACCCACGCAGGAAGTGTGTCTGTGCACCTCTTCCTTCCCTGGGTGTGTGTAGGAAGCAAAAGAGGAACACATTCCTCTTGGTACTTCACTCAAAACAACACTTTATATCACTCTTACATAGCTGAAATGTTTTACTACTGCAATACTCTGACTTTGTACTAACAAATAAAGTCTCTATGGGTTGATATAGACAATCAACACAATCAAATGCATCACACTTTTGATATCTAAATTAAACTACACAGGTCCATCCTGTCCTTGGAGTAACGTGTCTTTCATTTTATTGCCAGGTATGAGGATGGAACAGAGTTTTTGCCAATGGAAGCAGATGTGTGTGATGAGGAAACAGAAGCATATGTCACCAACCTTTCCTACTACCATCTTGTCCCATTTGAAACTGACATCCTGGAATGAGGAACCGATGGCTGTTGATGGACGTATGTCGCTGTCATTGAGGAGCATGTACTCTTAAATGGAACCTAGCTATGCAACGCTGCACATAGCTGTTCCAAGTAAATGCTGCTTATTCTAGAGACCCCTAGAGTTGCTTACATTTCTTTAGCCGATTTTGGAGTTGGGCAGATCTACAGGATGCACCAAAATGTTGCAGAAGAAGAATCCAACCGCAGCACCACTTTGTTTTTGCCACTTTAAGCGACGCCACCAGTGTGCCTCATTCGGAGCCTTACTTGACTTGACTTTCAGGTATTGTAACACAACCTGTGGCAGCAACGATGGAGGTCTTTCAGTCATTAGGCAGATGCAAACAGCTGGAGAGGTTTTTAAACATGCTGCTTTACCACTTCAAAAGACTTTAAATAGCATCAAAGACATCATTGTCTGTAGTTTGGAGTGTGACTGCAACCAGAGGGCTGCACATCAACTGAACTTTGGAGGCAAATTTACACTATTGGACCATTCACTGTTACTTAAAGTTATTATAATTAACCGGCACTCTTTCATTTTCTATCTTAGTTGTTTTGTCTTTATTCTCTAGAGGATCTCCATGATGCCACTGGCCTGGTTGATATATGTGAGATATGTGAGATATGTGATGCATCTGCAAAGTCTATTGTCTTCTCATTTAAACTGCTCCCTGAAGTGTTATCCACAGTGTTACCACTCTGGTGTTTTATTCCTGTGGGAACGCAGGAAGCTGTCACAAAGCTTTGTGTATGATATTTGTTTATGGTGCAATTTTCACCAGCATTTAGGAGCATTCTTGTTTGTAAAATACCAGCTTGAAACTCATAGGGAAATTTCTAGTTGTGTTGCTGTGATATGCAGTTAGTTCTTTAGCATGGGAGTACTCTGAGAGCCAAGTGAAACTAGACTGCATGCGTTTGATAAGAGACATACAAATGTGTGAGTTTTTGTCACCGCAAGATAAAAGTAATAAAATTGAGAAGATTTTGTCCAAAGTCTTACTGATTTAGCAGAAAACAAAAACTTGATGGTAAATCGAGCAAGAATAATAAAGCTTTTATGCTAATAGACTCGAAACATGTGGTAGCATAAGCATTAGATACATTTGTTATGTGTATACACAGTATACTGTATATGTGTTTCACTTGGTTCTTGGACCAGTGTCGAATTAAAGAATATAAAACAAATATGTGGCATTATCATTCTGTCACAACTCTCTTTTTCCAAAGTGAGAACTTAATGCTGCCATTTTGAATGTTGGTGATAAGTGTCAGCTTACTGCTCCTGTTGCCATGAGTGATAAAATGGGGCAAAGAAAGCTTTGTTTTTATAGGTCAGTTGAGGTCATATCTGACCCGTTCTGTACGATGACGTGTGTGGGTTCAGTCTGACAGCTGACTGCAGTCTTACTGAATGTGGGAGTCTGCAGCTCAGGCCTGCAACGGGGGAACAAATCCTCTCTTTATCTAAAGAATACAAATGACCTTGCTGTACTAAAACTTTCTATAGGACAAGTTGTGTGAAATAGGCAAACACTTTTTTTTTTATGGGTCCTCCCGCTATAAGGATGTTGCTTTCACTTCTCTTTGCGCCTTTTATGAAACTGTGGAACTCAGTAGAGCATCACATATGTTTTGAATGCAAGTGAAAGGCAAAAAAAGTATATTTGTGTAGGATTAACTATATGGATGTCTATCTGTCATTGTTTTGACATTTTTGTTAATGTTTTGTTGTTAATGTGATATAATGTAGTTATTGTGGCTTTACAATGTGGGCCAATTGCTTGTGTCCAGTTTTCTGCCCCTCCAAATACAAAGGCATTCAACCCTTGAAATCTTGGCACACAAGGCTACAACAGGACGGTCCTCCGCATGAGTCTATTTAGTAACACAGTCATGATCACCATTCACCCCCTGAGAAAGTACAGCTCTTTCTCACGGTGCAAAACTATTTCTTTGTGTTGTATTCTTTTCTACAAGAATGACATATGGAATTGATGCACATTGTTTGGACATAAAAGTTTGTATTGAGAAAGAAAGAGAAAACAGCATACTTGATTGTAAAGAATAATATTATTCAATACAAATTTTATTTTCAAGGTCAAATATTCTCTCTTTCAAAGTGCAGTTTGATGTTTAACAAGTCCTGTGTTTAAAGATCAAATATCTATTATCTACCCAGGCTGGGGTAATGCATTATAAATAGTTATGACTAAAATGGTACTCAGCTGATGTAGTTCAGTGGCAAGGGTGAGTAACAAAATGCTTGTACTTGTGTTTCAGTGAATTTTAGAAACATATCAACATGCCTATCATGCCGGCCAGGGATGTGAGGATTCAGAGGACGACAGTGCGAGCGATAATATATTTTATTTATTTTGTAAACTTCAGCCAAACTCTGTGAAGCTAACCATTCTCTGCCTTGTAATTTCATTTTTATGTGTGCTGTGAGACATGTTTAAGTGTGTAAAAATGACTGAATGAAGATTAATTATAATCTTTGAAAATGAAGTTTATGTGCTAACAAGTTTGATAACTTTAAAGCTATTCATTTTAGATACAAATTATTATTCTCAAAGTTTCTCCAAACAAATATGTTTCCAATAAAAGAAATGTTCATGTGATGTTTTTTTGTGGAAATCATGATTGGAATACATTTAGTGGCAATAAAAGAGGTCCAGAGGCTGTGGAACATAACTAAGTACATTGCTTAGGTACTGTATCTGAGTTCAATTTCAAAGTATTTTATCCTTATACAGTACATCTTCTCTACATTTCAGACTGCATTGTATTTCTTAATTCCCCATGTGTGTCTGACAGCTGTTAAATGTATTGTCTATCACATAGTTGTCTTAGGTTAGGGGCCCACATACAACATAAATACATACGCCCATGTAAGACTCACATAAAATTATACAAACAATTCCATTAATACACAAGAGCAGGTGTGCAAAGCTGTAATAAAAAGTAGTGTCAGTCTATTTGGCTAGAGTTAGTAGTTACTATACAGATTCATCTTTTACATACAAAACATTGTCATCTCATAAAATATAATAAAGTACATAACGGTATGTCAAATAGTTAAAAGTAGACAGGGCCCAAACACTGAAAAATCTCCGAACTCATTGCATGTCAGAGGGTATTGGAAAATAGATTAATTGCATATGTGTTTGGGAATTTGCTCCTCTAAAGTAGCTGGATCCTGCAGCATTTAGTAGTCTTCCCCAATTCTTATTTGAAGACTTTTATTATTTGACTTTATGTTCTGCTGATATGATGCATATTCCTAAATCTGGGTCCAGGTAGTGTGTACTGTAAATCCAGCAGAGTAGTATTGTCTGGAGCGACATCTTGTGGTCAGTATCCCCTTATCCTAATTTAATACAGGTGGTAAAAAAGTTGATTTAATGGGAAATAATAATAATAATAATAATAATAATAATAATAAACTGTATTTATATAACACTATTAACAACAAAAGTCTTTACAAGACAAAATAAAAATGGAAGCCAAAAAATGTAAACAGTGTACAGTTATATAGCATGGAGCAAAAGGAGCAACACGAGAAAGTGTTAAGTGTAATAAGTGAAATAAAACAACATAAAATAATGTATTTTTAAATTTTAGACTTAAATTATGTGCAGGCGACGGAGTCTGCGTAAATCCGCGCATGCGCAAAAGGTGCCGATTTACTAGCTGTATTTCCTGCTTGCTGTTTTCAGTCGAAGCAATGGCAGAAGTGAAAGCCTCCCTGATTTTTGGCGGTACGTTCACTTTTTATTTAATGTATATTTAACACTAGACTGTACATGTTATACCAGCACCTGTTAAATTGACTCTTGAAGGTCCTGTTGTTGAAACTGTGAAGCAAATTGATGCACTGTTAGCTGGGGTCGACAGCTTTAGCTGGTGATGCTTTGGTCATGAGGTTTCAGGCTGGAGGGCTGGAGAAAAGAGACGGTGCAGCTCTTGTTCACATCAATATAACATGTGCTTTATCTCTGTTTTAAAACTACAGTTGCAGCGGCTTTCCTAAGGCTTTCAGCAGTGCTTGCATTTGTTGAAGATCTAGATGACACGTAAGTGATGCTCTCCCCTGCTTCAACATGTCACCTTCCTGCCACTGTCACACTATAGCATGATCATGCAGTGCAACTTCCGAGTGTAACAGCGGACTTGATGTGATTGCAAATCAGAGTTTAGATGAGAAAAACTGGAAAAAACATGCAACAAACATTGTTTTTTTTAAAATCCAAACCTTGCATATTTTGTTTGATTGCTGATTTTTAAGGGTTCATCACATTTCCAAAGGATTGCAGTCTTATAAAAAACAGACAAAGGTTGTTCAAAGCCTGAGCAGAAGTCTTGATTTCATCTCAGGTTTCCAGCTGCACAGTGGTTTTTAATTGGATGCCTGTGCTGGGAAGTCTGTAGAGATTTTGTCTGTGTGTTTGTGTTTGTGGGATCCTCTAATGGTTCTCTTGTTTTATAATTTAGGGGCTTTTTCTGTAACTTTTTACAACTAATGTACTTATCTCATATCCACATACATGGAGCAATATATTTTTTATGTATAACATGTAACAAGCATCTTGTAATGTGAGTCATTCAGAATACATTATGTGAGATATAATTAAATTGATCTAGTATTGGCTAAAAGATAAGTACTGTCATTCGTTCTTCTTTTTGACAGATTTAAAGACACCAGAGTGAACGATATCTGGCTGGTTGATGTGAGTCTGACATTATACACACACACACACACACACACACACACACACACACACACACACAGACAGACAAAGGCACACAAAAATCAGTCTGTGTCCATTGAGCTCAGCTTTAGTTTATATCCAGCACGCCACTGTCCGGCTCATCCCCCACGGAAGTGGCAGCAGTTAGGGTGGGATGTAGGAGGGCGGGGGCCAGCAGGGCCGTGCAGTCTGTCCTCTGTGTTTGTGATTAGTGAATGAGAAGTCATGCATGCCGGGCAAAGCCCAAGGGCTCTGAGGGGTTTATATCAGAGCTTGTGTCTGGGTCCATATAAGCAAATCTAGCTCTAGCACCTGCTTTCACTCCTAGTTTGGGAGGCAGGAGTGAGTCCTTATGCTGGGAACTTTCACCCTGTGTAACAGTGGTTACATGTTACTATTGTTGTGTTCAGAGCTGAGTAATTATAGAATTATTTTACAACTCAGTTCATAAAGTTCAAATTGGCACTAAATTCTTTCATAGAATCAAATGTCTCATGTAATTTATAAGATGTTGTTTCCAGTGACTAACCCACAGAGAATTATCAACGAAATCTGCACCTCTTTTTAGAAGAAGCCTATTATGCTATTAGCCTCGTTTAGCTAATAGTTTTAACTTAGCACATTAACTATGTGGTTTAGTCTCAAATGCTCTTGTCAGTTCTGTTACCAGGACCTGCCCCAAATGATAAACAATATGTACGCTACCTGCCCAGCACTAAGCGACAAAGTTAGCAACTAGCAGGTGAACATAATGAAGCAGTTAAAGAGTCAGATTTCCCTCAGGATTTGGTGGAGACCAAAACAGAGCTAAAAAGGGAGTAATTCTTTGACTTGCATTGGTCAGGTGGCCAGAACAATGACTCCAAATTAATGATAATGTTTCTGTCTGCTAGATGTGTAAATAGACAATTCTTTGCTAAAATGTTAGCTATGACAGCTTTAAAAGGTGTATGACAGGGTGGCATATGGATTAGCTTTTTTTGGAATACCTTTGTCCCCAAGTGGCCAAAAAAAACCCAGAAGAATGTAGCCTTTAAGCCAAAATTGAGATTTGTGTACCGTAGGTATTTGTAGCTAGCTGGTCTTAGGTGGAAATGGCATGCTGCTGGTAACCTCTTGGGAGCACCAGTGGTTTCTAAAAGTCTACAAGTTGCTTGTATATCGATGAACCTGATCATCGCCTGAATCTAGAGCTCCCCTCTGCTTTCCAGAACTTTATAGTGAGTTTCAGTCATTGTTTAACTGTACGGGCACAAGATTACAGTTTTGGTTCACTCTCACTGCAACTTTTTTTGGCAGTAGCAAACAGTTGCTGGTTTTTTATTTTTTTTGCAAAAAAGCTCTAAAAACCCACTGTACACTACCAAACAGCAGACAGACACAGTTAGTCTAGCTGCGGGACATAGTGTAACGGTGGGAGACAGAACGGACCCAAACGCAACGCTGAGGGTGAAAAAGAGGTTTATTGAGGAAAAAACAGGCTCGAGGCGAGGGCAGGTGGAAGGAGGGGGAGAGGCAGACGAGGACTCGGGGAACCGAGAAGCTGGAGGAACGGAGGGCACAAGGCTGGAGGCTAGGGGGGAGGCTGGCAGACGGGTAGGTGAGGACACGGAGACGGGGGTCCAGGCGGGTGCGAGTGGAGAAGCCGGGGGGTGTCGTGGAGGCGGCGAGAGGAGGAGGCAGGCGAGCGAGCCCGGCTGGCCGAGCTGGGAGGCAGAGGTGAGTGAACCTGGCGGGGAAAAACAGAGAGACAGGGTTAGTAGGCAAGAGGACAAGAGGCAAAAGGAGTATAAGAAATAAAGCCAGAACGAAGCGGCGACACCAGGTCAAGAGCTGCGACGATCGAGCGAGGGTGGAGTGGAAAGCCGGGGTAGATATACTGGCAGTGATG